AACCTAAACCATGGGGTGCAGCATCATGATTTGAATAACTTTTAATGGGCATGGGGTGTAGATTGGCCTGAGCAAATGTGGTGCCGGTGGAACGAAAGCCTTCGGAGAAGTTAGCAAAATTCCAATGTGTGCGTATCGGCAAAAAATGCGGAATAACCCTTTAACTGTACATTTGACAGATACGCGCGCATGGACTTTTTTGTAGATCTTATTGAGATACATGTGTGTGTCAATTTTTGTGTCATTTTGCCAAAGCGTACAGGTGTTACACTCAACAATGTGTATTTTCACCTTAGGGGACAAGAAAAAATGGACTTTTTTCTCCTGCCATGGGGGGCGCTCTTTTGGGGAGTAAAAATTCCTTCACAAATGTGTTGATGGCTGGACATTGCATCATCCTAGAAAACTTGGAGGCCAGTGAGGGCAAAAATAAAAAGTTATAAGACTTTTAAATATGTGGATCTTAGGGTTATCTTTGGCGCCCCCTAGAACCTAAACCGTGGGGTGCAGCGTCATGATTTGAATAACTTTTAATGGCCATGGGGTGTAGATTGGCCTGAGCAAATGTGGTGCCGGTGGAACGAAAGCCTTCGGAGGAGTTAGCGAAATTCCAATGTGTGCGGATCGGCAAAAAATGCGAAATAACCCTTTAGCCGTACATTTGACAGATACGCCCGCGCTGACTTTTTTGTAGATCTTATTGAGATACATGTGTGTGTCAATTTTTGTGTCATTTTGACAAAGCGTACAGGCGTGACAGTCAATAGTGTGAATTTTCACCTTAGGGGGCGCTATGGAGCCATTTTGCATTTTCTTGTTTGGGCGACTTCGGAATATCAAATTTTTCACCAGGCCCGGTCGTCCTGCCAAATTTCCTGAGTTTTCGCCAGTGGGAAGTGGGCCATTTTCCAGTTCAAAGGGGAGGAAAAATAATAACTAGGGCCCCGTTGGGGCACTGGCGGGCCCGAGCCGTGTCACGCCGCCCCCAGCGCGACCGCCTCCCCCACCCGATCGCGTCACACTCAAGGTCCAAAGATGGTGTGCGCACTTGTTTGTGGTCATTTACCATTATAATGAACGGAAGGCGCAGTTTCTACCAAAACGCTCGCTGCAGAAAAACTCCATGTCCTATTTGAAAAAAGTCTGGACCATGAGTGAGGGCACAAACACAGCTAAGATATATCCAAATGGCAAGTTGCTCCTCCTTTCGCTTTTGCCGAGAGAGCAGTGCGTTTGAGCCATTGAATGATGAACAGGAAAAACTTGACTTTATTCTCCTGCCATGGGGGGCGCTCTTTTAAAGAGAAAAAACTCCTTCACAAATGTGTTGATGGCTGGACATTGCATCATCCTAGAAAACATGGAGGCCAGTGAGGACAAAAATAAAAAGTTATAAGACTTTTAAATATGTGGATTTTAGGGTTATATTTGGCGCCCCCTAGAACCTAAACCGTGGGGTGCAGCGTCATGATTTGAATAACTTTTAATGGCCATGGGGTGTAGATTGGCCTGAGCAAATGTGGTGCCGGTGGAACGAAAGCCTTCGGAGGAATTAGCGAAATTCCAATGTGTGCGAATCTGCAAAAAATGCGAAATTACCCTTTAACTGTACATTTTACAGATACGTGGCCATTGACTTTTTCGAAGATCTTATTTAAAATTTTGTGTCAATACGACAAAACATACAGGCGTAGCACTCAACAATGTGTATTTTCACCTTAGTGGACAAGAAAAAATTGACTTTTTTCTCCTGCCATGGGGGGGCGCTCTTTTGCCGAGTAAAAATTCCTTCACAAATGTGTTGATGGCTGGACATTGCATCATCCTAGAAAACTTGGAGGCCAGTGGGGACAAAAATAAAAAGTTATAAGACTTTTAAATATGTGGATTTTACGGTTATCTTTGGCTCCCCCTAGAACCTAAACCGTGGGGTGCAGCGTCATGATTTGAATAACGTTTAATGGCCATGGGGTGTAGATTGGCCTGAGCAAATGTGGTGCCGGTGGAACGAAAGCCTTCGGAGGAGTTAGCGAAATTCCAATGTGTGCGGATCGGCAAAAAATGCGGAATAACCCTTTAACCGTACATTTGACAGATACGCGCGCATTGACTTTTCGTAGATCTTATTGAGATACATGTGTGTGTCAATTTTTGTGTCATTTTGCCAAAGCGTACAGGTGTTACACTCAACAATGTGTATTTTCACCTTAGGGGACAAGAAAAAATGGACATTTTTCTCCTGCCATGGGGGGGCGCTCTTTTGGGGAGTAAAAATTCCTTCACAAATGTGTTGATGGCTGGACATTGCATCATCCTAGAAAACTTGGAGGCCAGTGAGGGCAAAAATAAAAAGTTATAAGACTTTTAAATATGTGGATCTTAGGGTTATCTTTGGCGCCCCCTAGAACCTAAACCGTGGGGTGCAGCGTCATGATTTGAATAACTTTTAATGGCCATGGGGTGTAGATTGGCCTGAGCAAATGTGGTGCCGGTGGAACGAAAGCCTTCGGAGGAGTTAGCGAAATTCCAATGTGTGCGGATCGGCAAAAAATGCGAAATAACCCTTTAACCGTACATTTGACAGATACGCCCGCACTGACTTTTTTGTAGATCTTATTGAGATACATGTGTGTGTCAATTTTTGTGTCATTTTGACAAAGCGTACAGGCGTGACAGTCAATAGTGTGAATTTTCACCTTAGGGGGCGCTATGGAGCCATTTTGCATTTTCTTGTTTGGGCGACTTCGGAATATCAAATTTTTCACCAGGCCCGGTCGTCCTGCCAAATTTCATGAGTTTTCGCCAGTGGGAAGTGGGCCATTTTCCAGTTCAAAGGGGAGGAAAAATAATAATAATAACACTAGGACCCCGTTGGGGCACTGGCGGGCCCGAGCTGTGTCGCGTCCCCCCCCCAACGCGCTGCCTCCCCGTCCCATTTGTGTCCTCTGGCCATCGCCCTCTCTGGTAACACCCATCACTGCAAAGACCCTTTTCCTTCATCGGCGTTTGCTGTTCTTCCTGCCAGTGCGTGTTGCTTTCACTTACACTTGCCACAGCCAGCCTCTTGAGTGCCTAGCCTATTGGATATCACTGTCACCTACTCAGGACAGTCATTACCTTTCTATTAATACTTTGTTTTTTAATTTCACATTAATTTCCATATTGTATAAACAACTGGAAAAAACTTGAGCCCCTGCCCCTGTATAATCATGTGCACGTCTCTGTTCTAGCTCTAAGGTGAATCTTCACTGCTCATGTTCTCCTCAGAAGCAGTCACCTCACTCCCCTCAGGTTACTGTACACATGCACCAACTGCCTGCTTCAGGTTTGGATGGAGCTTCATGGTTGTCTTTTGGAGAAATGACCAGTCAAGTTGTGTTTGAAATTTGATTTTTTTCAGGGGCAAAAGGAGCCTCTGCATTCTTGTCAAATATGTAAATAGCATGTTTTTGCAGGTGCTAAAAACCAGACTCTGAGTGTGTGTGTGTGCGTGTGTGTGTGTGTCTGTGTGTGTGTGTGTGTGTGTGTGTGTGTGTGTGTGCGTTCAAGTCACATGACATATTTAACCGGATGTAGCTGCAAGACGGAGCCTCGTTGACTCCGTTTCAACTTATCTCAAAAGTGAGGACCTCAACCTATATACCAGTTTTTAAATTGTGTTGATAGGCCAAATAAAACCAGAGTTATGATAAATTATGTCCGCGATACTTGTTTTCTGCTTATTTTGATCACGTTCGGCGCTCGATCGCGCTGTATGAGACAGGAAAACATAGCATGCAGACATTAGCGACAGCTCTTACAGGCGGAAAAGGCTTGCCAAAGGAAAAAAAAAACACACCACAACATCTCTCCTATTGGTGGAAAACTTCACCACAACAACCAATCCAAAATTATATGGTGACTGATTGACAAGGGGCGGGCGCTTACGTTCTTCCTGCAATATGAGAAGGGAGGGAGGGACTCTCAGCAGGGATGCAGTCTGGGACACGTAGTTGCAAACCTAGCGACTTTGTTGTTAGATTCAATGACTTTTCAGACCCCCTAACGACTTTTTTTTTTAGAAAGAAAGTGACTTTTATCGACTTCTTCTGGAGTTTAGAGACTCTGACATGAAGCAGGCTTTCCTTACTGAGGAGTTAGCAACGCTGCTAAGGGTGCAGAGCCACACATGCGCTCCGAGCTCTGCATGGGAGACTGAAGCTGACAGAGCTGCAGCAGTTAGCAGGTTTCACCCTCAGAGACCACCAGGGGTTCATGTTGAGGCATTTTCAGTTTTTTTTTTTTTTTTTTTTGCCATAGACACTGTCAGCACAATCTGCAGTTACACTAACAAAAATGCTGCAAAAAACAAAGAATTATGGAAAAATTACACATGGACTAACATAGAGGAGGATATACACAAGTTTTTTACATCATGTTTTACATCATGCATCATTTACATCATGTTTTTTTGTAGTGGCATAAATAAAAAGTGACATTTGTGAGACTATACAGTGTTTTGTAAATAATTTTACAAAGAACACCTGGGCCATTGCCTGCATTTTGATGTAAATAGAGGTAAATTACTATGTTCTTTGTTAAAAATTTGCATATGTTTTGAAGTTTACAATTTTTATTTGAAGTTTAAGTTTTAAAAACAGTTCATCACACATATTTGTGGTTTTCACAGTAAAAACGTTACTTTTTTCCACTCGGATTTTATGTTTTGTGTGTGAATTTGGGTCCAATGTGTAAATATAGTATGTCAAAATGATAAAATAACTGTAAATTGACACAGGTGAGGTTGTGCTGAAAAAAATGATACCAGGCAAGGCAAGGTAAAAATTTTGTAAGAGGAAATATAAAGGTAAAATCTAAAGTAGTCAAAAACGGCCAATAGTGACTCACAGACTCCACAGACAAGTCCCTTTGGCGCCACTCAGTGGGCAAAACTACTTTGTCTACTGTAATGTATATTTGGGTCATCTTTGGCGCCCCCTAAAACGTAAACCGTGGGGTGCAGCGTCATGATTTTTACAACTTTGAATGGCCATGGAGTGTAGATTGGCCTGAGCAAATTTGGTGTCAGTGGGACGAAAGCCTTAGGAGGAGTTAGCGAAATTCCAATGTGTGCGAATCGGCAAAAAATGCAAAATAGCCCTTTTACCGTACATTATACAGATACGCGCTCTTTGACTTTTTCGTAGATCTAATTGAGATACACATGATTGTCAATTTTTGTGTCATTTTGCCAAAGCGTACATGCGTGACAGTCAACAATGTGTATTTTCACCTTAGGGGACAAGAAAAAATGGACTTTTTTCTCCTGCCATGGGGGGGCGCTCTTTTAGGGAGTAAAAATTCCTTCACAAATGTGTTGATGGCTGGACATTGCATCATCCTAGAAAACTTGGAGGCCAGTGAGGACAAAAATAAAAAGTTAAAAGACTTTTAAAAATGTGGATTTTTGGGTTATCTTTGGCGCCCCCTAGAACGTAAACCGTGGGGTGCAGCGTCATGATTTGAATAACTTTTAATGGCCATGGGGTGTAGATTGGCCTGAGCAAATGTGGTGCCGGTGGAACGAAAGCCTTCGGAGGAGTTAGCGAAATTCCAATGTGTGCGAATCGGCAAAAAATGCGGAATAACCCTTTAACCGTACATTTGACAGATACGCGCGCATGGACTTTTTTGTAGATCTTATTGAGATACATGTGTGTGTCAATTTTTGTGTCATTTTGACAAAGCGTACAGGCGTGACACTCAACAATGTGTATTTTCACCTTAGGGGACAAGAAAAAATGGACTTTTTTCTCCTGCCATGGGGGGGCGCTCTTTTGGGGAGTAAAAATTCCTTCACAAATGTGTTGATGGCTGGACATTGCATCATCCTAGAAAACTTGGAGGCCAGTGAGGGCAAAAATAAAAAGTTATAAGACTTTTAAATATGTGGATTTTAGGGTTATCTTTGGCGCCCCCTAGAACCTAAACCGTGGGGTGCAGCGTCATGATTTGAATAACTTTTAATGGCCATGGGGTGTAGATTGGCCTGAGCAAATGTGGTGCCGGTGGAACGAAAGCCTTCGGAGGAGTTAGCGAAATTCCAATGTGTGCGGATCGGCAAAAAATGCGAAATAACCCTTTAACCGTACATTTGACAGATACGCCCGCACTGACTTTTTTGTAGATCTTATTGAGATACATGTGTGTGTCAAATTTTGTGTCATTTTGACAAAGCGTACAGGCGTGACACTCAATAGTGTGAATTTTCACCTTAGGGGGCGCTATGGAGCCATTTTGCATTTTCTTGTTTGGGCGACTTCGGAATATCAAATTTTTCACCAGGCCCGGTCGTCCTGCCAAATTTCATGAGTTTTCGCCAGTGGGAAGTGGGCCATTTTCCAGTTCAAAGGGGAGGAAAAAGAAAAAAGAAACAAAGAAAAACCCCTTGGGGAATAATAGGGCTCTCGCAGCTGCTTAGCAGCTACGCTCGGGCCCTAACTAGGACCCCGTTGGGGCACTGGCGGGCCCGAGCCGTGTCGCCCCCCCCCCCAACGTGCTGCCTTGAAAAAAGTCTGGACCATGAGTGAGGGCACAAACACAGCTAAGATATATCCAAATGGCAAGTTGCTCCTCCTTTCGCTTTTGCCGAGAGAGCAGTGCGTTTGAGCCATTGAATGATGAACAGGAAAAACTTGACTTTATTCTCCTGCCATGGGGGGGCGCTCTTTTAAAGAGAAAAAACTCCTTCACAAATGTGTTGATGGCTGGACATTGCATCATCCTAGAAAACATGGAGGCCAGTGAGGACAAAAATAAAAAGTTGTAAGACTTTTAAATATGTGGATTTTAGGGTTATCTTTGGCGCCCCCTAGAACCTAAACCGTGGGGTGCAGCGTCATGATTTGAATAACTTTTAATGGCCATGGGGTGTAGATTGGCCTGAGCAAATGTGGTGCCGGTGGAACGAAAGCCTTCGGAGGAATTAGCGAAATTCCAATGTGTGCGAATCTGCAAAAAATGCGAAATAACCCTTTAACCGTACATTTTACAGATACGTGGCCATTGACTTTTTCGAAGATCTTATTGAAATACACGTGTATGTAAAATTTTGTGTCAATACGACAAAACATACAGGCGTAGCACTCAACAATGTGTATTTACACCTTAGTGGACAAGAAAAAATTGACTTTTTTCTCCTGCCATGGGGGGGCGCTCTTTTGCCGAGTAAAAATTCCTTCACAAATGTGTTGATGGCTGGACATTGCATCACCCTAGAAAACTTGGAGGCCAGTGGGGACAAAAATAAAAAGTTATAAGACTTTTAAATATGTGGATTTTACGGTTATCTTTGGCTCCCCCTAGAACCTAAACCGTGGGGTGCAGCGTCATGATTTGAATAACGTTTAATGGCCATGGGGTGTAGATTGGCCTGAGCAAATGTGGTGCCGGTGGAACGAAAGCCTTCGGAGGAGTTAGCGAAATTCCAATGTGTGCGGATCGGCAAAAAATGCGGAATAACCCTTTAACCGTACATTTGACAGATACGCGCGCATTGACTTTTTCGTAGATCTTATTGAGATACATGTGTGTGTCAATTTTTGTGTCATTTTGCCAAAGCGTACAGGTGTTACACTCAACAATGTGTATTTTCACCTTAGGGGACAAGAAAAAATGGACATTTTTCTCCTGCCATGGGGGGGCGCTCTTTTGGGGAGTAAAAATTCCTTCACAAATGTGTTGATGGCTGGACATTGCATCATCCTAGAAAACTTGGAGGCCAGTGAGGGCAAAAATAAAAAGTTATAAGACTTTTAAATATGTGGATCTTAGGGTTATCTTTGGCGCCCCCTAGAACCTAAACCGTGGGGTGCAGCGTCATGATTTGAATAACTTTTAATGGCCATGGGGTGTAGATTGGCCTGAGCAAATGTGGTGCCGGTGGAACGAAAGCCTTCGGAGGAGTTAGCGAAATTCCAATGTGTGCGGATCGGCAAAAAATGCGAAATAACCCTTTAACCGTACATTTGACAGATACGCCCGCACTGACTTTTTTGTAGATCTTATTGAGATACATGTGTGTGTCAATTTTTGTGTCATTTTGACAAAGCGTACAGGCGTGACAGTCAATAGTGTGAATTTTCACCTTAGGGGGCGCTATGGAGCCATTTTGCATTTTCTTGTTTGGGCGACTTCGGAATATCAAATTTTTCACCAGGCCCGGTCGTCCTGCCAAATTTCATGAGTTTTCGCCAGTGGGAAGTGGGCCATTTTCCAGTTCAAAGGGGAGGAAAAATAATAATAATAATAACTAGGGCCCCGTTGGGGCACTGGCGGGCCCGAGCCGCGTTGCGCCGCCCCCAGTGCGACCGCCTCCCCCTCCCGATCGCGTCACACTCAAGGTCCAAAGATGGTGTGCGCACTTGTCTGTGGTCATTTCCTATTATAATGAATGGGAGGCGCAGTTTCTACCAAAACACTCGCTGCAGACAAACTACATGTCCTATTTGAAAAAAGTCTGGACCATGAGTGAGGGCACAAACACAGCTAGGATATATCCAAACGGCAAGTTGCTCCTCGTTACGGTGTTGCCGGGAGAGCGATGCGATTGAGCCATTGAGTGATGGGCAGGAAAAACTTGACTGTTTCTCCTGCCATGGGGGATGGGGGATGGGGGATGGGGGGGGGGGGGATGTGGATTCTTTTAAGAATGTGGATATTTGGGTCATCTTTGGCGCCCCCTAGAACGTAAACCGTGGGGTGCAGCGTCATGATTTTTAAAACTTTGAATGGCCATGGGGTGTAGATTGGCCTGAGCAAATTTGGTGTCAGTGGGACGAAAGCCTTAGGAGGAGTTAGCCACATTCCAAAGTGTGCTAATCGGAAAAAAATGCAAAATAGCCCTTTAACCGTACATTTTACAGATACGCGCGCATTGACTTTTTCGTAGATCTTATTGAGATACATGTGTGTGTCAAATTTTGTGTCAATATGACAAAGCATACAGGTATGACAGTCAACAATGTGTATTTTCACCTTATGGGACAAGAAAAAATTGACTTTTTTCTCCTGCCATGGGGGGGCGCTCTTTTGGGGAGTAAAAATTCCTTCACAAATGTGTTGATGGCTGGATTCGCATCATCCTAGAAAACTTGGAGGCCAGAGAGGACAAAAATAAAAAGTTATAAGACTTTTAAATATATGGATTTTAGGGTTATCTTTGGCGCCCCCTAGAACCTAAACCGTGGGGTGCAGCGTCATGATTTGAATAACTTTTAATGGCCATGGGGTGTAGATTGGCCTGAGCAAATGTGGTGCCGGTGGAACGAAAGCCTTCGGAGGAGTTAGCGAAATTCCAATGTGTGCGAATCGGCAAAAAATGCAAAATAGCCCTCTAACCATACATTTGACAGATACGCACCCATTGACTTTTTCGTAGATCTTATTGAGATACACGTGATTGTCAAATTTTGTGTTAATATGACAAAGCGTACAGGTGTCACACTCAACAATGTGAATTTTCACCTTACGGGACAAGAAAAAATTGACTTTTTTCTCCTGCCATGGGGGGGCGCTCTTTTGGGGAGTAAAAATTCCTTCACAAATGTGTTGATGGCTGGACATTGCATCATCCTAGAAAACTTGGAGGCCAGTGAGGACAAAAATAAAAAGTTATAAGACTTTGAAATATGTGGATTTTAGGGTTATCTTTGGCGCCCCCTAGAACCTAAACCGTGGGGTGCAGCGTCATGATTTGAATAACTTTTAATGGCCATGGGGTGTAGATTGGCCTGAGCAAATGTGGTGCCAGTGGAACGCCAGCCTTAGGAGGAGTTAGCGAAATTCCAATGTGTGTGGATCAGCAAAAAATGCGGAATAACCCTTTAACCGTACATTTGACAGATACGCGCGCATTGACTTTTTCGTAGATCTTATTGAGATACATGTGTGTGTCAAATTTTGTGTCAATATGACAAAGCGTACAGGCGTGACACTCAACAATGTGTATTTTCACCTTAGGGGACAAGAAAAAATGGACTTTTTTCTCCGGCCATGGGGGGGCGCTCTTTTGGGGAGTAAAAATTCCTTCACAAATGTGTTGATGGCTGGACATTGCATCATCCTAGAAAACTTGGAGGCCAGTGAGGGCAAAAATAAAAAGTTATAAGACTTTTAAATATGTGGATTTTAGGGTTATCTTTGGCGCCCCCTAGAACCTAAACCGTGGGGTGCAGCGTCATGATTTGAATAACTTTTAATGGCCATGGGGTGTAGATTGGCCTGAGCAAATGTGGTGCCGGTGGAAAGAAAGCCTTCGGAGGAGTTAGCGAAATTCCAATGTGTGCGGATCAGCAAAAAATGCGGAATAACCCTTTAACCGTACATTTGACAGATACGCCCGCACTGACTTTTTTGTAGATCTTATTGAGATACATATGTTTGTCAATTTTTGTGTCATTTTGACAAAGCGTAAAGGCGTGACAGTCAATAGTGTGAATTTTCACCTTAGGGGGCGCTATGGAGCCATTTTGCATTTTCTTGTTTGGGCGACTTCGGAATATCAAATTTTTCACCAGGCCCGGTCATCCTGCCAAATTTCATGAGTTTTCGCCAGTGGGAAGTGGGCCATTTTCCAGTTCAAAGGGGAGGAAAAAGAAGAAACTAGGGCCCCGTTGGGGCACTGGCGGGCCCGAGCCGCGTTGCGCCGCCCCCAGTGCGACCGCCTCCCCCTCCCGATCGCGTCACACTCAAGGTCCAAAGATGGTGTGCGCACTTGTCTGTGGTCATTTCCCATTATAATGAATGGGAGGCGCAGTTTCTACCAAAACACTCGCTGCAGACAAACTACATGTCCTATTTGAAAAAAGTCTGGACCATGAGTGAGGGCACAAACACAGCTAGGATATATCCAAACGGCAAGTTGCTCCTCGTTACGGTGTTGCCGGGAGAGCGATGCGATTGAGCCATTGAGTGATGGGCAGGAAAAACTTGACTGTTTCTCCTGCCATGGGGGATGGGGGATGGGGGATGGGGGATTGGGGGGGGGGGGGGGGGGGGATGTGGATTCTTTTAAGAATGTGGATATTTGGGTCATCTTTGGCGCCCCCTAGAACGTAAACCGTGGGGTGCAGCGTCATGATTTTTAAAACTTTGAATGGCCATGGGGTGTAGATTGGCCTGAGCAAATTTGATGTCAGTGGGACGAAAGCCTTAGGAGGAGTTAGCCACATTCCAATGTGTGCTAATCGGCAAAAAATGCAAAATAGCCCTTTAACCGTACATTTTACAGATACGCGCGCATTGACTTTTTCGTAGATCTTATTGGGATACATGTGTGTGTCAAATTTTGTGTCAATATGACAAAGCATACAGGTATGACAGTCAACAATGTGTATTTTCACCTAATGGGACAAGAAAAAATGGACTTTTTTCTCCTGCCATGGGGGGGCGCTCTTTTGGGGAGTAAAAATTCCTTCACAAATGTGTTGATGGCTGGACATTGCATCATCCTAGAAAACTTGGAGGCCAGAGAGGACAAAAATAAAAAGTTATAAGACTTTTAAATATGTGGATTTTAGGGTTATCTTTGGCGCCCCCTAGAACCTAAACCGTGGGGTGCAGCGTCATGATTTGAATAACTTTTAATGGCCATGGGGTGTAGATTGGCCTGAGCAAATGTGGTGCCAGTGGAACGAAAGCCTTCGGAGGAGTTAGCGAAATTCCAATGTGTGCGGATTGGCAAAAAATGCGCAATAACCCTTTAACCGTACATTTGACAGATACGCCAGCACTGACTTTTTTGTAGATCTTATTGAGATACATGTGTGTGTCAATTTTTGTGTAATTTTGACAAAGCGTACAGGCGTGACAGTCAATAGTGTGAATTTTCACCTTATGGGACAAGAAAAAATGGACTTTTTTCTCCTGCCATGGGGGGGCGCTCTTTTGGGGAGTAAAAATTCCTTCACAAATGTGTTGATGGCTGGACATTGCATCATCCTAGAAAACTTGGAGGCCAGAGAGGACAAAAATAAAAAGTTATAAGACTTTTAAATATGTGGATTTTAGGGTTATTTTTGGCGCCCCCTAGAACCTAAACCGTGGGGTGCAGCGTCATGATTTGAATAACTTTTAATGGCCATGGGGTGTAGATTGGCCTGAGCAAATGTGGTGCCAGTGGAACGAAAGCCTTCGGAGGAGTTAGCGAAATTCCAATGTGTGCGGATCGGCAAAAAATGCGCAATAACCCTTTAACCGTACATTTGACAGATACGCCAGCACTGACTTTTTTGTAGATCTTATTGAGATACATGTGTGTGTCAATTTTTGTGTCATTTTGCCAAAGCGTACAGGCGTGACAGTCAACAATGTGTATTTTCACCTTAGGGGACAAGAAAAAATGGACTTTTTTCTCCTGCCATGGGGGGGCGCTCTTTTAGGGAGTAAAAATTCCTTCACAAATGTGTTGATGGCTGGACATTGCATCATCCTAGAAAACTTGGAGGCCAGTGAGGACAAAAATAAAAAGTTATAAGACTTTTAAAAATGTGGATTTTTGGGTTATCTTTGGCGCCCCCTAGAACGTAAACCATGGGGTGCAGCGTCATGATTTGAATAACTTTTAATGGCCATGGGGTGTAGATTGGCCTGAGCAAATGTGGTGCCGGTGGAACGAAAGCCTTAGGAGGAGTTAGCGAAATTCCAATGTGTGCGAATCGGCAAAAAATGCAGAATAACCCTTTAACCGTACATTTGACAGATACGCGCGCATGGACTTTTTTGTAGATCTTATTGAGATACATGTGTGTGTCAATTTTTGTGTCATTTTGACAAAGCGTACAGGCGTGACACTCAACAATGTGTATTTTCACCTTAGGGGACAAGAAAAAATGGACTTTTTTCTCCTGCCATGGGGGGGCGCTCTTTTGGGGAGTAAAAATTCCTTCACAAATGTGTTGATGGCTGGACATTGCATCATCCTAGAAAACTTGGAGGCCAGTGAGGGCAAAAATAAAAAGTTATAAGACTTTTAAATATGTGGATTTTAGGGTTATCTTTGGCGCCCCCTAGAACGTAAACCGTGGGGTGCAGCGTCATGATTTGAATAACTTTTAATGGCCATGGGGTGTAGATTGGCCTGAGCAAATGTGGTGCCGGTGGAACGAAAGCCTTCAAAGGAGTTAGCGAAATTCCAATGTGTGCGGATCGGCAAAAAATGCGAAATAACCCTTTAACCGTAAATTTGACAGATACGCCCGCACTGACTTTTTTGTAGATCTTATTGAGATACATGTGTGTGTCAATTTTTGTGTCATTTTGACAAAGCGTACAGGCGTCAGGTGAATTTTTCACCTTAGGGGGCGCTATGGAGCCATTTTGCATTGTATTGTTTGGGCGACTTCAGAATATCAAATTTTTCACCAGGCCCGGTCGTCCTGCCAAATTTCATGAGTTTTCGCCAGTGGGAAGTGGGCCATTTTCCAGTTCAAAGGGGAGGAAAAAGAAAAAAGAAACAAAGAAAAACCACTTGGGGAATAATAGGGCTCTCGCAGCTGCTTAGCAGCTACGCTCGGGCCCTAAGAAAGAAACAAAGAAAAACCACTTGGGGAATAATAGGGCTCTCGCAGCTGCTTAGCAGCTACGCTCGGGCCCTAACTAGGACCCCGTTGGGGCACTGGCGGGCCCGAGCCGTGTCGCGTCCCCCCCCCCAACGTGCTGCCTCCCCGTCCCATTTGTGTCCTCTGGCCATCGCCCTCTCTGGTAACGCCCATCACTGCAAAGACCCTTTTCCTTCATCGGCGTTTGCTGTTCTTCCTGCCAGTGCGTGTTGCTTTCACTTACACTTGCCACAGCCAGCCTCGTGAGTGCCTAGCCTATTGGATATCACTGTCACCTACACAGGACAGTCATTACCTTTCTATTAATACTTTGTGTTTTAATTTCACATTAATTTCCATATTGTATAAACGACTGGAAAAAACTTGAGCCCCTGCCCCTGTATAATCATGTGCATGTCTCTGTTCTAGCTCCAAGGTGAATCTTCACTGCTCATGTTCTCCTCAGAAGCACTCACCTCACTCCCCTCAGGTTACTGTACACATGCACCAACTGCCTGCTTCAGGTTTGGATGGAGCTTCATGGTTGTCTTTTGGAGAAATGACCAGTCAAGTTGTGTTTGAAATTTGATTTTTTTCAGGGGCAAAAGGAGCCTCTGCATTCTTGTCAAATATGTAAATAGCATGTTTTTGCAGGTGCTAAAAACCAGACTCTGAGTGTGTGTGTGTGTGTGTGTGTGTGTGTGTGTGTGTGTGTGTGTGTGTGTGCGTGTGTGTGTGTCTATGTGTGCGTTCAAGTCACATGACATATTTAACCTGATGTAGCTGCAAGACGGAGCCTCGTTGACTCTCCGTTTCAACTTATCTCAAAAGTGAGGACCTCAACCTATATACCAGTTTTTAAATTGTGTTGATAGGCCAAATAAAACCAGAGTTATGATAAATTATGTCCGCGATACTTTTTTTCTGCTTATTTTGATCACGTTCGGCGCTCGATCGCGCTGTATGAGACAGGAAAACATAGCATGCAGACATTAGCGACAGGTCTTACAGGCGGAAAAGGCTTGCCAAAAGAAAAAAAAAACACACCACAACATCTCTCCTATTGGTGGAAAACTTCACCACAACAACCAATCCAAAATTATATGGTGACTGATTGACAAGGGGCGGGCGCTTACGTTCTTCCTGCAACATGAGAAGGGAGGGAGGGACTCTCAGCAGGGATGCAGTCTGGGACACGTAGTTGCAAACCTAGCGACTTTGTTGTTAGATTCAATGACTTTTCAGACACCCTAACGACTTTTTTTAGAAAGAAAGGGACTTTTATCGACTTCTTCTGGAGTTTAGAGACTCTGACATGAAGCAGGCTTTCCTTACTGAGGAGTTAGCAACGCTGCTAAGGGTGCAGAGCCACACATGCGCTCAGAGCTCTGCATGGGAGACTGAAGCTGACAGAGCTGCAGCAGTTAGCAGGTTTCACCCTCAGAGACCACCAGGGGTTCATGTTGAGGCATTTTAATTTTTTTTTTTTTTTGTGCCATAGACACTGTCAGCAAAATCTGCAGTTACACTAACAAAAATGCTGCAAAAAACAAAGAATTATGGAAAAATTACACATGGACTGACATAGAGGAGGATCTACACAAGTTTTTTACATCATGTTTTACATCATGCATCATTTACATCATGTTTTTTTGTAGTGGCATAAATAAAAAGTGACATTTGTGAGACTATACAGTGTTTTGTAAATAATTTTACAAAGAACGCCTGGGCCATTGCCTGCATTTTAATGTAAATAGAGGTAAATTACTATGTTCTTTGTTAAAAATTTGCATATGTTTTGAAGTTTACAATTTTTATTTGAAGTTTAAGTTTTAAAAACAGTTCATCACACATATTTGTGGTTTAATTTCACATTAATTTCCATATTGTTCAAATGACTGGAAAAAACTTGAGCCCCTGCCCCTGTATAATCATGTGCACGTCCCTGTTCTAGCTCCAAGGTGAATCTTCACTGCTCATGTTCTCCTCAGAAATAGTCACCTCACTCCCCTCAGGTTACTGTACACATGCACCAACTATCTGCTTCAGGTTTGAAATGGAGCTTCATGGTTGTCTTTTGGAGAAATGAACAGTCAAGTTGTGTTTGAAATTTGATTTTTTTCAGGGGCAAAAGGAAGCCTCTGCATTCTTGTCAAATATGTAAACAGCATGTTTTTGCAGGTGCTAAAAAACAGACTCTGAGTGTGTGTGTGTGTCTGTGTGTGTGTGTGTGTGTGTGTGTGTGTGTGTGTGTGTGTGTATGTTGGCGTGTGTGTATATGTGTGTGTATCCTGCAGTACTCTGTACTCCTGCAGTGGCCAAAAAGACTTTTAAGAATGTGGATTTTTGGGTCATCTTTGGCGCCCCCTAGAACTGCAGTACTCTGTACTCCTGCAGTGGCCAAAATGACTTTTAAGAATGTGGATTTTTGGGTCATCTTTGGCGCCCCCTAGAACGTAAACCGTGGGGTGCAGCGTCATGATTTTTACAACTTTGAATGGGCATGGGGTGTAGATTGCCCTGAGCAAATTTGGTATCGGTGGGACGAAAGCCTTAGGAGGAGATAGCCACATTCCAATGTGTGCGAATCGGCAAAAAATGCAAAATAGCCCTTTAACCGTACATTATACAGATACGCGCTCTTTGACTTTTTCGTAGATCTAATTGAGATACACATGATTGTCAATTTTTGTGTCAATATGACAAAGCGTTCAGGCGTGACACTCAACAATGTGTATTTTTATGTAAGGGGACAAGAAAAAATTGACTTTTTTCTCCTACCATGGGGGGCGCTCTTTTGGGGAGTAAAAATTCCTTCACAAATGTGTTGATGGCTGGACATTGCATCATCCTAGAAAACTTGGAGGCCAGTGAGGACAAAAATAAAAAGTTATAAAACATTTAAGAATGTGGATTTTTGGGTTATTTTTGGCGCCCCCTAGAACCTAAACCATGGGGTGCAGCATCATGATTTGAATAACTTTTAATGGCCATGGGGTGTAGATTGGCCTGAGCAAATGTGGTGCCGGTGGAACGAAAGCCTTCGGAGGAGTTAGCGAAATTCCAATGTGTGCGTATCGGCAAAAAATGCGGAATAACCCTTTAACTGTACATTTGACAGATACGCGCGCATGGACTTTTTTGTAGATCTTATTGAGTTACATGTGTGTGTCAATTTTTGTGTCATTTTGACAAAGCGTATAGGCGTGACACTCAACAATGTGTATTTTCACCTTAGGGGACAAGAAAAAATGGACTTTTTTCTCCTGCCATGGGGGGGCGCTCTTTTGGGGAGTAAAAATTCCTTCACAAATGTGTTGATGGCTGGACATTGCATCATCCTAGAAAACTTGGAGGCCAGTGAGGACAAAAATAAAAAGTTATAAGACTTTTAAATATGTGGATTTTAGTGTTATCTTTGGCGCCCCCTAGAACCTAAACCTTGGGGTGCAGCGTCATGATTTTGATAACTTTTAATGGCCACGGGGTGTAGATTGGCCTGAGCAAATGTGGTGCCGGTGGAACGAAAGCCTTCGGAGGAGTTAGCGAAATTCCAATGTGTGCGGATCGGCAAAAAATGCGAAATAACCCTTTAACCGTAATTTTGACAGATACGGCCGCACTGACTTTTTTGTAGATCTTATTGAGATACATATGTGTGTCAATTTTTGTGTCAATATGACAAAGCGTACAGGCGTGACAGTCAATAGTGTGAATTTCCACCTTAGGGGGCGCTATGGAGCCATTTTGCATTTTATTGTTTGGGCGACTTCAGAATATCGAATTTTTCACCAGGCCCGGTCGTCCTGCCAAATTTCATGAGTTTTCGCCAGTGGGAAGTGGGCCATTTTCCAGTTCAAAGGGGAGGAAAAAGAAGAAAGAAAGAACTAGGACCCCGTTGGGGCACTGGCGGGCCCGAGCCGTGTCGCGTGGCCCCCCCCCCCCAACGTGCTGCCTCCCCGTCCCATTTGTGTCCTCTGGCCATCGCCCTCTCTGGTAACGCCCATCACTGCAAAGACCCTTTTCCTTCATCGGCGTTTGCTGTTCTTCCTGCCAGTGCGTGTTGCTTTCACTTACACTTGCCACAGCCAGCCTCTTGAGTGCCTAGCCTATTGGATATCACTGTCACCTACACAGGACAGTCATTACCTTTCTATTAATACTTTGTGTTTTAATTTCACATTAATTTCCATATTGTATAAACGACTGGAAAAAACTTGAGCCCCTGCCCCTGTATAATCATGTGCATGTCTCTGTTCTAGCTCCAAGGTGAATCTTCACTGCTCATGTTCTCCTCAGAAGCACTCACCTCACTCCCCTCAGGTTACTGTACACATGCACAAACTGCCTGCTTCAGGTTTGGATCGAGCTTCATGGTTGTCTTTTGGAGAAATGACCAGTCAAGTTATGTTTGAAATTTGATTTTTTTCAGGGGCAAAAGGAGCCTCTGCATTCTTGTCAAATATGTAAATAGCATGTTTTTGCAGGTGCTAAAAACCAGACTCTGAGTGTGTGTGTGTGTGTGTGTGTGTGTCTGTGTGTGCGTTCAAGTCACATGACATATTTAACCGGATGTAGCTGCAAGACGGAGCCTCGTTGACTCTCCGTTTCAACTTATCTCAAAAGTGAGGACCTCAACCTATATACCAGTTTTTAAATTGTGTTGATAGGCCAAATAAAACCAGAGTTATGATAAATTATGTCCGCGATACTTTTTTTCTGCTTATTTTGATCACGTTCGGCGCTCGATCGCGCTGTATGAGACAGGAAAACATAGCATGCAGACATTAGCGACAGCTCTTACAGGCGGAAAAGGCTTGCCAAAAGAAAAAAAAAACACACCACAACATCTCTCCTATTGGTGGAAAACTTCACCACAACAACCAATCCAAAATTATATGGTGACTGATTGACAAGGGGCGGGACCTTACGTTCTTCCTGCAATATGAGAAGGGAGGGAGGGACTCTCAGCAGGGATGCAGTCTGGGACACGTAGTTGCAAACCTAGCGACTTTGTTGTTAGATTCAATGACTTTTAAGACCCCCTAACGACTTTTTTTTTAGAAAGAAAGGGACTTTTATCGACTTCTTCTGGAGTTTAGAGACTCTGACATGAAGCAGGCTTTCCTTACTGAGGAGTTAGCAACGCTGCTAAGGGTGCAGAGCCACACATGCGCTCAGAGCTCTGCATGGGAGACTGAAGCTGACAGAGCTGCAGCAGTTAGCAGGTTTCACCCTCAGAGACCACCAGGGGTTCATGTTGAGGCATTTTAATTTTTTTTTTTTTTTTGTGCCATAGACACTGTCAGCACAATCTGCAGTTACACTAACAAAAATGCTGCAAAAAACAAAGAATTATGGAAAAATTACACATGGACTGACATAGAGGAGGATCTACACAAGTTTTTTACATCATGTTTTACATCATGCATCATTTACATCATGTTTTTTTGTAGTGGCATAAATAAAAAGTGACATTTGTGAGACTATACAGTGTTTTGTAAATAATTTTACAAAGAACGCCTGGGCCATTGCCTGCATTTTGATGTAAATAGAGGTAAATCACTATGTTCTTTGTTAAAAATTTGCATATGTTTTGAAGTTTACAATTTTTATTTGAAGTTTAAGTTTTAAAAACAGTTCATCACACATATTTGTGGTTTTCACAGTAAAAATGTTACTTTTTTCCACTCGGATTTTATGTTTTGTGTGTGAATTTGGGTCCATTGTGTAAATTCAGTATGTCAACATGATAAAATAACTGTAAATTCGCACAGGTGAGGTTGTGCTGAAAAAAATGATACCAGGCAAGGCACGTGATTGTCAAATTTTGTGTCAATATGACAAAGCGTATAGGCGTGAATCTCAACAATATGTATTTTCACCTTAAGGGACAAGAAAAAATGGACTTTTTTCTCCTGCCATGGGGGGGCGCTCTTTTGGGGAGTAAAAATTCCTTCACAAATGTGTTGATGGCTGGACATTGCATCATCCTAGAAAACTTGGAGGCCAGTGAGGACAAAAATAAAAAGTTATAAGACTTTTAAATATGTGGATTTTAGTGTTATCTTTGGCGCCCCCTAGAACCTAAACCTTGGGGTGCAGCGTCATGATTTTGATAACTTTTAATGGCCATGGGGTGTAGATTGGCCTGAGCAAATGTGGTGCCGGTGGAACGAAAGCCTTAGGAGGAGTTAGCCACATTCCAATGTGTGCGGATCGGCAAAAAATGCGGAATAACCCTTTAACCGTACATTTGACAGATACGCGCCCATTGACTTTTTCGTAGATCTTATTGAGTTACATATGTGTGTCAATTTTTGTGTCATTTTGACAAAGCGTATAGGCGTGACACTCAACAATGTGTATTTTCACCTTAGGGGACAAGAAAAAATGGACTTTTTTCTCCTGCCATGGGGGGGCGCTCTTTTGGGGAGTAAAAATTCCTTCACAAATGTGTTGATGGCTGGACATTGCATCATCCTAGAAAACTTGGAGGCCAGTGAGGACAAAAATAAAAAGTTATAAGACTTTTAAATATGTGGATTTTAGTGTTATCTTTGGCGCCCCCTAGAACCTAAACCTTGGGGTGCAGCGTCATGATTTTGATAACTTTTAATGGCCACGGGGTGTAGATTGGCCTGAGCAAATGTGGTGCCGGTGGAACGAAAGCCTTCGGAGGAGTTAGCGAAATTCCAATGTGTGCGGATCGGCAAAAAATGCGCAATAACCCTTTAACCGTACATTTGACAGATACGACCGCACTGACTTTTTTGTAGATCTTATTGAGATACATGTGTGTGTCAATTTTTGTGTCATTTTGACAAAGCGTACAGGCGTGACAGTCAATAGTGTGAATTTTCACCTTAGGGGGCGCTATGGAGCCATTTTGCATTTTCTTGTTTGGGCGACTTCGGAATATCAAATTTTTCACCAGGCCCGGTCATCCTGCCAAATTTCATGAGTTTTCGCCAGTGGGAAGTGGGCCATTTTCCAGTTCAAAGGGGAGGAAAAAGAAGAAAGAAAGAAACAAAGAAAAACCCCTTGGGGAATAATAGGGCTCTCGCAGCTGCTTAGCAGCTACGCTCGGGCCCTAAAGAAAGAAACAAAGAAAAACCACTTGGGGAATAATAGGGCCTACGCCCGGCTGCTCTGCAGCTGGCTCGGGCCCTAATAATAACAAAAGAAGGAAACTACAGGAACAAGAGGGCTCTCGCAGCTGCTTAGCAGCTACGCTCGGGCCCTAATAATAACAAAAGAAGGAAACATGCAGGAACAAGAGGGCTCTCGCAGCTGCTTAGCAGCTACGCTCGGGCCCTAACTAGGACCCCGTTGGGGCACTGGCGGGCCCGAGCCGTGTCGCGTCCCCCCCCCCCAACGTGCTGCCTTCCCGTCCCATTTGTGTCCTCTGGCCATCGCCCTCTCTGGTAACGCCCATCACTGCAAAGACCCTTTTCCTTCATCGGCGTTTGCTGTTCTTCCTGCCAGTGCGTGTTGCTTTCACTTACACTTGCCACAGCCAGCCTCGTGAGTGCCTAGCCTATTGGATATCACTGTCACCTACACAGGACAGTCATTACCTTTCTATTTATACTTTGTGTTTTAATTTCACATTAATTTCCATATTGTATAAACGACTGGAAAAAACTTGAGCCCCTGCCCCTGTATAATCATGTGCATGTCTCTGTTCTAGCTCCAAGGTGAATCTTCACTGCTCATGTTCTCCTCAGAAGCACTCACCTCACTCCCCTCAGGTTACTGTACACATGCACCAACTGCCTGCTTCAGGTTTGGATGGAGCTTCATGGTTGTCTTTTGGAGAAATGAGCAGTCAAGTTGTGTTTGAAATTTGATTTTTTTCAGGGGCAAAAGGAGCCTCTGCATTCTTGTCAAATATGTAAATAGCATGTTTTTGCAGGTGCTAAAAACCAGACTCTGAGTGTGTGTGTGTGTGTGCGTGTGTGTGTGTGTGTGTGCGTTCAAGTCACATGACATATTTAACCGGATGTAGCTGCAAGACGGAGCCTCGTTGACTCTCCGTTTCAACTTATCTCAAAAGTGAGGACCTCAACCTATATACCAGTTTTTAAATTGTGTTGATAGGCCAAATAAAACCAGAGTTATGATAAATTATGTCCGCGATACTTTTTTTCTGCTTATTTTGATCACGTTCGGTGCTCGATCGCGCTGTATGAGACAGGAAAACATAGCATGCAGACATTAGCGACAGGTCTTACAGGCGGAAAAGGCTTGCCAAAAGAAAAAAAAAACACACCACAACATCTCTCCTATTGGTGGAAAACTTCACCACAACAACCAATCCAAAATTATATGGTGACTGATTGACAAGGGGCGGGCGCTTACGTTCTTCCTGCAACATGAGAAGGGAGGGAGGGACTCTCAGCAGGGATGCAGTCTGGGACACGTAGTTGCAAACCTAGCGACTTTGTTGTTAGATTCAATGACTTTTCAGACCCCCTAACGACTTTTTTTAGAAAGAAAGGGACTTTTATCGACTTCTTCTGGAGTTTAGAGACTCTGACATGAAGCAGGCTTTCCTTACTGAGGAGTTAGCAACGCTGCTAAGGGTGTAGAGCCACACATGCGCTCAGAGCTCTGCATGGGAGACTGAAGCTGACAGAGCTGCAGCAGTTAGCAGGTTTCACCCTCAGAGACCACCAGGGGTTCTTGTTGAGGCATTTTAATTATTTTTTTTTTGTGCCATAGACACTGTCAGCACAATCTGCAGTTACACTAACAAAAATGCTGCAAAAAACAAAGAATTATGGAAAAATTACACATGGACTGACATAGAGGAGGATCTACACAAGTTTTTTACATCATGTTTTACATCATGCATCATTTACATCATGTTTTTTGTAGTGGCATAAATAAAAAGTGACATTTGTGAGACTATACAGTGTTTTGTAAATAATTTTACAAAGAACGCCTGGGCCATTGCCTGCATTTTGATGTAAATAGAGGTAAATTACTATGTTCTTTGTTAAAAATTTGCATATGTTTTGAAGTTTACAATTTTTATTTGAAGTTTAAGTTTTAAAAACAGTTCATCACACATATTTGTGTTTTAATTTCACATTAATTTCCATATTGTATAAATGACTGGAAAAAACTTGAGCCCCTGCCCCTGTATAATCATGTGCACGTCCCTGTTCTAGCTCCAAGGTGAATCTTCACTGCTCATGTTCTCCTCAGAAATAGTCACCTCACTCCCCTCAGGTTACTGTACACATGCACCAACTATCTGCTTCAGGTTTGGATGGAGCTTCATGGTTGTCTTTTGGAGAAATGAACAGTCAAGTTGTGTTTGAAATCTGATTTTTTTCAGGGGCAAAAGGAAGCCTCTGCATTCTTGTCAAATATGTAAACAGCATGTTTTTGCAGGTGCTAAAAAACAGACTCTGAGTGTGTGTGTGTGTGTGTGTGTGTGTGTGTGTGTGTGTGTGTGTGTGTGTGTGTGTGTGTATCCTGCAGTACTCTGTACTCCTGCAGTGGCCAAAAAGACTTTTAAGAATGTGGATTTTTGGGTCATCTTTGGCGCCCCCTAGAACTGCAGTACTCTGTACTCCTGCAGTGGCCAAAATGACTTTTAAGAATGTGGATTTTTGGGTCATCTTTGGTGCCCCCTAGAACGTAAACCGTGGAGTGCAGCGTCATGATTTTTACAACTTTGAATGGGCATGGGGTTTAGATTGCCCTGAGCAAATTTGGTATCGGTGGGACGAAAGCCTTAGGAGGAGATAGCCACATTCCAATGTGTGCGAATTGGCAAAAAATGCGAAATAGCCCTTTAACCGTAAATTATACAGATACAAGCTTTTTGACTTTTTCGTAGATCTAATTGAGATACACGTGATTGTCAATTTTTGTGTCAATATGACAAAGCGTTCAGGCATGACACTCAACAATGTGTATTTTCATGTAAGGGGACAAGAAAAAAATGACTTTTTTCTCCTGCCATGGGGGGGCGCTCTTTTGGGGAGTAAAAATTCCTTCACAAATGTGTTGATGGCTGGACATTGCATCATCCTAGAAAACTTGGAGGCCAGTGAGGACAAAAATAAAAAGTTATAAGACTTTTAAATATGTGGATTTTAGGGTTATCTTTGGCGCCCCCTAGAACGTAAACCGTGGGGTGCAGCGTCATGATTTGTACAACTTTTAATGGCCATGGGGGGTAGATTGGCCTGCGCAAATGTGGTGCCGGTCGAACAAAAGCCTTCGGAGGAGTTAGCGAAATTCCAATGTGTGCAGATCTGCAAAAAATGCAAAATAACCCATTAACCGTACATTTGACAGATACGCCCGCACTGACTTTTTTGTAGATCTTATTGAGATACATGTGTGTGTCAATTTTTGTGTCAATATGACAAAGCGTACAGCCGTCATGTGAATTTTCACCTTAGGGGGCGCTATGGAGCCATTTTGCATTTTATTGTTTGGGCGACTTCAGAATATCGAATTTTTCACCAGGCCCGGTCGTCCTGCCAAATTTCCTGAGTTTTCGCCAGTGGGAAGTGGGCCATTTTCCAGTTTAAAGCGGAGGAAAAATAACTAGGACCCCGTTGGGGCACTGGCGGGCCCGAGCTGTGTCGCGTCCCCCCCCCAACGCGCTGCCTCCCCGTCCCATTTGTGTCCTCTGGCCATCGCCCTCTCTGGTAACGCCCATCACTGCAAAGACCCTTTTCCTTCATCGGCGTTTGCTGTTCTTCCTGCCAGTGCGTGTTGCTTTCACTTACACTTGCCACAGCCAGCCTCGTGAGTGCCTAGCCTATTGGATATCACTGTCACCTACACAGGACAGTCATTACCTTTCTATTAATACTTTGTTTTTTAATTTCACATTAATTTCCATATTGTATAAACAACTGGAAAAAACTTGAGCCCCTGCCCCTGTATAATCATGTGCACGTCTCTGTTCTAGCTCTAAGGTGAATCTTCACTGCTCATGTTCTCCTCAGAAGCAGTCACCTCACTCCCCTCAGGTTACTGTACACATGCACCAACTGCCTGCTTCAGGTTTGGATGGAGCTTCATGGTTGTCTTTTGGAGAAATGAGCAGTCAAGTTGTGTTTGAAATTTGATTTTTTTCAGGGGCAAAAGGAGCCTCTGCATTCTTGTCAAATATGTAAATAGCATGTTTTTGCAGGTGCTAAAAACCAGACTCTGAGTGTGTGTGTGTGTGCGTGTGTGTGTGTGTGTGTGTGTGTGTGTGTGTGTGTGTGTGTGTGTGTGTGTGCGCGCGTTCAAGTCACATGACATATTTAACCGGATGTAGCTGCAAGACGGAGCCTTGTTGACTCTCCGTTTCAATTTATCTCAAAAGTGAGGACCTCAACCTATATACCAGTTTTTAAATTGTGTTGATAGGCCAAATAAAACCAGAGTTATGATAAATTATGTCCACGATACTTGTTTTCTGCTTATTTTGATCACGTTCGGCGCTCGATCGCGCTGTATGAGACAGGAAAACATAGCATGCAGACATTAGCGACAGGTCTTACAGGCGGAAAAGGCTTGCCAAAGGAAAAAAAAAAACACACCACAACATCTCTCCTATTGGTGGAAAACTTCACCACAACAACCAATCCAAAATTATATGGTGACTGATTGACAAGGGGCGGGAACTTACGTTCTTCCTGCAATATGAGAAGGGAGGGAGGGACTCTCAGCAGGGATGCAGTCTGGGACACGTAGTTGCAAACCTAGCGACTTTGTTGTTAGATTCAATGACTTTTCAGACCCCCTAACGACTTTTTTTTAGAAAGAAAGTGACTTTTATCGACTTCTTCTGGAGTTTAGAGACTCTGACATGAAGCAGGCTTTCCTTACTGAGGAGTTAGCAACGCTGCTAAGGGTGCAGAGCCACACATGCGCTCCGAGCTCTGCATGGGAGACTGAAGCTGACAGAGCTGCAGCAGTTAGCAGGTTTCACCCTCAGAGACCACCAGGGGTTCATGTTGAGGCATTTTCAGTTTTTTTTTTTTTTTTTTGCCATAGACACTGTCAGCACAATCTGCAGTTACACTAACAAAAATGCTGCAAAAAACAAAGAATTATGGAAAAATTACACATGGACTAACATAGAGGAGGATCTACACAAGTTTTTTACATCATGTTTTACATCATGCATCATTTACATCATGTTTTTTTGTAGTGGCATAAATATAAAGTGACATTTGTGAGACTATACAGTGTTTTGTAAATAATTTTACAAAGAACACCTGGGCCATTGCCTGCATTTTGATGTCAATAGAGGTAAATTACTATGTTCTTTGTTAAAAATTTGCATATGTTTTGAAGTTTACAATTTTTATTTGAAGTTTAAGTTTTAAAAACAGTTCATCACACATATTTGTGGTTTTCACAGTAAAAACGTTACTTTTTTCCACTCGGATTTTATGTTTTGTGTGTGAATTTGGGTCCAATGTGTAAATATAGTATGTCAAAATGATAAAATAACTGTAAATTGACACAGGTGAGGTTGTGCTGAAAAAAATGATACCAGGCAAGGCAAGGTAAAAATTTTGTAAGAGGAAATATAAAGGTAAAATCTAAAGTAGTCAAAAACGGCCAATAGTGACTCACAGACTCCACAGACAAGTCCCTTTGGCGCCACTCAGTGGGCAAAACTACTTTGTCTACTGTAATGTATATTTGGGTCATCTTTGGCGCCCCCTAAAACGTAAACCGTGGGGTGCAGCGTCATGATTTTTACAACTTTGAATGGCCATGGAGTGTAGATTGGCCTGAGCAAATTTGGTGTCAGTGGGACGAAAGCCTTAGGAGGAGTTAGCGAAATTCCAATGTGTGCGAATCGGCAAAAAATGCAAAATAGCCCTTTTACCGTACATTATACAGATACGCGCTCTTTGACTTTTTCGTAGATCTAATTGAGATACACATGATTGTCAATTTTTGTGTCATTTTGCCAAAGCGTACAGGCGTGACAGTCAACAATGTGTATTTTCACCTTAGGGGACAAGAAAAAATGGACTTTTTTCTCCTGCCATGGGGGGGGGCACTCTTTTGGGGAGTAAAAATTCCTTCACAAATGTGTTGATGGCTGGACATTGCATCATCCTAGAAAACTTGGAGGCCAGTGAGGACAAAAATAAAAAGTTAAAAGACTTTTAAAAATGTGGATTTTTGGGTTATCTTTGGCGCCCCCTAGAACGTAAACCGTGGGGTGCAGCGTCATGATTTGAATAACTTTTAATGGCCATGGGGTGTAGATTGGCCTGAGCAAATGTGGTGCCGGTGGAACGAAAGCCTTCGGAGGAGTTAGCGAAATTCCAATGTGTGCGAATCGGCAAAAAATGCGGAATAACCCTTTAACCGTACATTTGACAGATACGCGCGCACTGACTTTTTTGTAGATCTTATTGAGATACATGTGTGTGTCAATTTTTGTGTCATTTTGACAAAGCGTACAGGCGTGACACTCAACAATGTGTATTTTCACCTTAGGGGACAAGAAAAAAATGGACTTTTTTCTCCTGCCATGGGGGGGCGCTCTTTTGGGGAGTAAAAATTCCTTCACAAATGTGTTGATGGCTGGACATTGCATCATCCTAGAAAACTTGGAGGCCAGTGAGGGCAAAAATAAAAAGTTATAAGACTTTTAAAAATGTGGATTTTAGGGTTATCTTTGGCGCCCCCTAGAACCTAAACCGTGGGGTGCAGCGTCATGATTTGAATAACTTTTAATGGCCATGGGGTGTAGATTGGCCTGAGCAAATGTGGTGCCGGTGGAACGAAAGCCTTCGGAGGAGTTAGCGAAATTCCAATGTGTGCGGATCGGCAAAAAATGCGAAATAACCCTTTAACCGTACATTTGACAGATACGCCCGCACTGACTTTTTTGTAGATCTTATTGAGATACATGTGTGTGTCAATTTTTGTGTCATTTTGACAAAGCGTACAGGCGTGACAGTCAATAGTGTGAATTTTCACCTTAGGGGGCGCTATGGAGCCATTTTGCATTTTCTTGTTTGGGCGACTTCGGAATATCAAATTTTTCACCAGGCCCGGTCGTCCTGCCAAATTTCCTGAGTTTTCGCCAGTGGGAAGTGGGCCATTTTCCAGTTCAAAGGGGAGGAAAAAGAAGAAAGAAAGAAACAACTAGGGCCCCGGTGGGGCACTGTCGGGCCCGAGCCGCATCGCGCCGCCCCCAGCGCGACCGCCTCCCCCTCCCGATCGCATCACACTCAAGGTCCAAAGATGGTGTGCGCACTTGTCTGTGGTCATTTCCCATTATAATGAATGGGAGGCGCAGTTTCTACCAAAACGGTCGCTGCAGACAAACTACATGTCCTATTTGAAAAAAGTCTGGACCATGAGTGAGGGCACAAACACAGCTAGGATATATCCAAATGGCAAGTTGCTCCTCCTTACGGTGTTGCCAGGAGAGCGATGCGATTGAGCCATTGAGCGATGGGCAGGGTTAACTGGACTTTTTCTCCTGCCTTGGTGGGGGGGGGATGTGGATTCTTTTAAGAATGTGGATATTTGGGTCATCTTTGGCGCCCCCTAGAACGTAAACCATGGGGTGCAGCGGCATGATTTTTACAACTTTGAATGGCCATGGGATGTAGATCGGCTTGAGCAAATTTGGTGTTGGTGGGAAGAAAGCCTTAGGAGGAGTTAGCCACATTCCAATGTGTGCGAATCGGCAAAAAATGCGAAATAGCCCTTTAACCGTACATTTTACAGATACGTGCCCATTGACTTTTTCGTAGATCTTATTGAGATACACGTGTGTGTCAAATTTTGTGTCATTTTGACAAAGCGCATAGGCGTGACAGTCAACAATGTGTTATTTCACCTTAGGGGACAAGAAAAAATGGACTTTTTTCTCCTGCCATGGGGGGGCGCTCTTTTCGGGAGTAAAAATTCCTTTGCAAATGTGTTGATGGCTGGACATTGCATCATCCTAGAAAACTTGGAGGCCAGTGAGGACAAAAATAAAAAGTTATAAGACTTTTAAGACTGTGGATTTTTGGGTTATCTTTGGCGCCCCCTAGAACCTAAACTCTGGAGTGCAGCGTCATGATTTGTACAACTTTTAATGGCCATGGGGTGTAGATTGGCCTGAGCAAATTTGGTGGCGGTGGAACTAAAGCCTTAGGAGGAGTTAGCGAAATTCCAATGTGTGCGGATCGGGAAAAAATGCGAAATAACCCTTTAACCGTACATTTTACAGATCGTGCCCATTGACTTTTTCGTAGATCTTATTGAGATACACGTGATTGTCAAATTTTGGGTCAATATGACAAAGTGTATAGGCGTGACACTCAACAATGTGTATTTTCACCTTAGGGGACAAGAAAAAATGGACTTTTTTCTCCTGCCATGTGGGGGCGCTCTTCTGGGGAGTAAAAATTCCTTCACAAATGTGTTGATGGCTGGACATTGCATCATCCTAGAGAACTTGGAGGCCAGTGAGGACAAAAATAAAAAGTTATAAGACTTTTAAGACTGTGGATTTTTGGGTTATCTTTGGCGCCCCCTAGAACGTAAACTGTGGGGTGCAGCGTCATGATTTGTACAACTTTTAATGGCCATGGGGTGTAGATTGGCCTGAGCAAATGTGGTGCCGGTGGAACGAATGCCTTCGGAGGAGTTAGCGAAATTCCAATGTGTGCAGATCGGCAAAAAATGCGAAATAACCCTCTAACCGTACATTTCACAGATGCGCCCGCGCTGACTTTTTCATAGACCGTATTGAGATACACGTGTGTGTCAATTTTTGTGTCAATATGACAAAGCGTACAGGCGTGACAGTCAATAGTGTGAATTTTCGCCTTAGGGGGCGCTATGGAGCCATTTTGCATTTTATTGTTTGGGCGACTTCAGAATATCGAATTTTTCACCAGGCCCGGTCGTCCTGCCAAATTTCATGAGTTTTCGCCAGTGGGAAGTGGGCCATTTTCCAGTTTAAAGCGGAGGAAAAATAATAACTAGGGCCCCGTTGGGGCACTGGCGGGCCCGAGCCGTGTCGCGCCGCCCCCAGCGCGACCGCCTACCCCTCCCGATCGCGTCACACTCAAGGTCCAAAGATGGTGTGCGCACTTGTCTGTGGTCATTTACCATTATAATGAATGGGAGGCGCAGTTTCTACCAAAACGCTCGCTGCAGACAAACTCCATGTCCTTTTTGAAAAAAGTCTGGACCATGAGTGAGGGCACAAACACAGCTAGGATATATCCAAACGGCAAGTTGCTCCTCCTTTCGGTTTTGCCGAGAGAGCGATGCGTTTGAGCCATTGAGCGATGGGCAGGAAAAACTTGACTTTTTCTCCTGCCATGGGGGGGGCGCTCTTTTGGGGAGAAAAAATTCCTTCACAAATGTGTTGATGACTGAACATTGCATCATCCTAGAAAACTTGGAGGCCAGTGAGGACAAAAATAAAGTTATAAGACTTTTAAAAATGTGGATATTTGGGTCCTCTTTGGCGCCCCCTAGAACGTAAACCGTGGGGTGCAGCATCATGATTTTTACAACTTTGAATGGCCATGGGGTGTAGATTGGCCTGAGCAAATTTGGTGTCAGTGGAACGAAAGCCTTAGGAGGAGTTAGCCACATTCCAATGTGTGCGAATCGGCAAAAAATGCGAAATAGCCCTTTAACCGTACATTTTACAGATACGCGCACATTGACTTTTTCGTAGATCTTATTGAGATACACCTGATTGTCAAATTTTGTGTCAATATGACAAAGCGTACAGGCGTGACACTCAACAATGTGTATTTTCGCCTTAGGGGACTAGAAAAATTTGACTTTTTTCTCCTGCCATGGGGGGCGCTCTTTTGGCGAGTAAGGGTTAGGGTTATCTTTGGCGCCCCCTAGAACCTAAACCGTGGGGTGCAGCGTCATGATTTGAATAACTTTTAATGGCCATGGGGTGTAGATTGACCTGAGCAAATTTGGTGCCGGTGGAACGAAAGCCTTCGGAGGAGTTAGCGAAATTCCAATGTGTGCGGATCGGCAAAAAATGCGAAATAAACCTTTAACTGTACATTTGACAGATACGCCCGCGCTGACTTTTTCGTAGATCTTATTCAGATACACGTGTATGTCAAATTTTGTGTCATTTTGACAAAGCGTACAGGCATCAGGTGAAAATTTCACCTTAGGGGGCGCTATGGAGCCATTTTGCATTTTATTGTTTGGGCGACTTCAGAATATCGAATTTTTCACCAGGCCCGGTTGTCCTGCCAAATTTCATGAGTTTTCGCCAGTGGGAAGTGGGCCATTTTCCAGTTTAAAGCGGAGGAAAAATAATAAGTAGGGCCCCGTTGGGGCACTGGCGGGCCCGAGCTGTGTCCCCCCCCCCCCCCAACGCGCTGCCTCCCCGTCCCATTCACGTCCTCTGGCCATCGCCCTCTCTGGTAGCGCCCATCACTGCAAAGACCCTTTTCCTTTATCGGTGTTTGCTGTTCTTCCTGCCAGTGCGTGTTGCTTTCACTTACACTTGCCACAGCCAGCCTCGTGAGTGCCTAGCCTATTGGATATCACTGTCACCTACACAGGACAGTCATTACCTTTCTATTAATACTTTGTTTTTTAATTTCACATTAATTTCCATATTGTATAAACGACTGGAAAAAACTTGAGCCCCTGCCCCTGTATAATCATGTGCACGTCCCTGTTCTATCTCCAAGGTGAATCTTCACTGCTCATGTTCTCCTCAGAAGCAGTCACCTCAGTCCCCTCAGGTTACTGTACACATGCACCAACTGCCTGCTTTAGGTTTGGATGGAGCTTCATGGTTGTCTTTTGGAGAAATGAGCAGTCAAGTTGTGTTTGAAATTTGATTTTTTTCAGGGGCAAAAGGAAGCCCCTGCATTCTTGTCAAATATGTAAATAGCATGTTTTTGCAGGTGCTAAAAAACAGACTCTGTGTGTGTGTGTGTGTGTGTGTGTGTGTGTGTGTGTGTGTGTGTGTTTGTGTATCCTAAGCTCTGAAGAGACAGTAGGAGCAGCAGAACAAAGTGTATTTGTAGAAAAGCCGTAAGAGCTATTGAAACGCCGTTTTTGCAGGTTGAAAGGTTCACGTCTCCACCAAAGGTCAGAGGTCAAATAACATTTAAATGTCAAACTGTGACGTCACAGTCGAGGTCCAAAGATAGTGTGCACACCTGTCTTTGGTCATTTCCCATTATAATGAATGGGAGGCGCAGTTTCTACCGAAACGCTGGCTGCAGACAAACTACATGTCCTATTTGAAAAAAGTCTGGACCATGAGGGCACAAACACAGCTAGGAAATATCCAAACGGCAAGTTGCTCCTCCTTTCGCTTTTGCCGAGAGAGCAGTGCGTTTGAGCCATTGAACTATGAACAGGAAAAACTTGACTTTATTCTCCTGCCATGGGGGGCGCTCTTTTAACGAGAAAAAATTCCTTCACAAATGTGTTGATGGCTGGACATTGCATCATCCTAGAAAACATGGAGTCCAGTGAGGACAAAAATGAAATGTTCTAACACTTTTAAG